ATAGAACACCCTGTATATTTTAAGATTTCTGAAAGGTGTATTTGGTCAATTTCAAAGATATTAGAGACTAAATCTCTAGATTAGATTCTTAGAGGTGGCTTTCGGCCTGATCCACTGCGACCTTCCCAGATCTATTGTGGTGCTCTTCTGATCCTGGGATTACAGTCTCCAGTCCTATCTTTTTCACAAAGTTTAGCAACTTGGAGACTGAACCCTCTATGTAGCTCCCTGGCAATGGCCTATCGTTGCCTATATTACTGAGAACCGCACATTTACCAAGCTGTCACACCGACATAAATGTGTTCTGTCTTTTCTTCTTCAGATTGGCAGAAACTTATATAGCTTGCCTGTCTGTCAGTCCCATCAGCTTATTTATATGCCTATTTAGCTTACAATGCCCTGTTAGTAGACCTACTACAGCTTTGACTGAGAACTTGGTTTCAAAGATAATAATTTTACTATAGTAAGCATTTCCTTAAATCGTTTTAAAATAATTTTGGTTTGATCAGTCTTTGTAAAAAGAAATTAAATCTGTATCAAAAAATCAAGACATTTTTCAATATATATTACTCATATTACTCATATCTTTTGTATCTCTTCTGATTTACTAGATCAATGTAGTGTGCATTTAGTGTATTCTCATATGGGACATCGTGTATGTAATCATATTAATATACATAACACTGCAAGAAAACTATTTCCAATTTGTATAATCATATTTTTATACACTTTTAAAATACTTTTAACCTACATATTCAAGTACATACATATAACATATTTGTAATAATTTTTTCTACATTTTAATATTTTAATTATTAGAGTTAAAATTGGATTTTTGTTAAACTTTTTGTTCAATAAATAATTCATAATTACTTACGTCCAAAGGTTGACTTTTTAATATAAAACACCTTTTTTGAAAAAAATACTACATATAGTTCATATCAAATAAACTTTTAATCACGTGATTAAGCTTGACCAGCACAGCGTTGCCCATTTTACATATTTTCTTTTAATCAACATATTTTAGGAAACAAAAATAAATTAATTTAAAATATAAAAAGAGTTATTATTTACATCAAAAACTATTAAAAATCGCAAGCTCTAAGAGTCTTGCAGCTAGACCAAGACTATGACTACATGTTAACTTGCATTTGCTGATCACTATCAATCATTTTAAAACAATTTTCTTCAAATGATATGTTATTGACTGAAATTCTCGTAATTCTTTGAAAAGTTTAATTGTCTATATTCTAGAGATGGTTGATATTACTTTAATTAAACTATTAAAAACTATGCTTACCGAATTATAGTTTGAAGGTGTCATAACATAAATATTAATAATGAATAGATATTAATAACGTAATAGTCTGTACTAATAAAACTATGAATAATATTAATAGTTGTGCACTTTGTTTTTGTAAATATTGCTGATGATTAAACATAAAATTAATGTATAATTATAGAAAACTTGTTTCATTTTTAATTTTTGGTACTCTAATAAATATGTATATGTGATGGCAAATTCGTTTAAAAAAAGTAATTTGTTTCCTCTTTCACATACATTAATGGATGGAAATAATAATATGTAAATAATAAAGAAGAAAAAATCATATATAGATGACACAGGGGCGGATCCAGGATTCAGGAGGAAGGGGAGGGGCTTAGACACAATTAAAACTTTACTCAAAGAGCATACTCCGGAGTCGTTTCTGAAATAAGAAATTAATAATATCGTATTGCATGACTGAAAAAAATCTATTTTATTTAAAAATATTGGCAAGTCGTATTTATAAAGGTGAAAATGTATTTAAACTATTTTATATCCATAATTATAATTATGTATTATTATTTACTATGACATGGCAGGAACAACAAATAGTATTGATATAGGTTATTATCCTTCTAATACATAATTAATTTATTGAATTAAAATATCTGTATTTTTAAGAAATTTATTTTTTTAATTTTTATTTTTTAATTGCATATTACTAATTTACCTACTAGCACAATAAGTTGAAGTTAACAAAGGAAGAAGGAAGTTTTATACAGTTAAACTCATCGTACACTTGGTATGTATACGTATTTGTTTAACCATTATTATACAGATTTAGACAAATATGTCAAGTGCCTATTATGTTAATATTACCCAGCTTAATAATAATTGCATTCGGCTTGGGTATGTGAATAATAATTATAGAAATTAGGTTTAATAGGTTTTACATCCTAGTAGGCATATTATTAATACTGACACTCTACATAGTATATTTTTATTTAAGATTATTTATTTATACCTATATATTTGTATGAGACTACTTTCATTTTTGGTTTACAATTGCAAATTTATTTTATTCTTTTTAACATAGGTAGTACTAAATTATTTGATTTTTGTTAAAAGTAGATTTATAAACATATTCCTGAAATAACACAGACATATTTTAAGCTTAATTTGTAATGATTGTGCAATTATATTTTTGTAATTTATAGCAAAATGAGATTATTGAGGTAAATCGTCAATAACCGTTAGGAAACTAGCGGTTTGGTTACTTTTAAACAAATTAATGTTACGTCTTTATTTATTGAAATGATATACATTTTCCTGTTTTTAATTAATTTTGCACTAAACTGTCTACAAAAAGAAACTTAAATAAACTGATGGGAAAACTGATGTGGAGTTAGCAGTGTTTGTGGCAGTGTCATATTGAGTATAACACTTAATAAAAAAGAGCCATAAAATAAATTCTAAATTAGATGAATAGTCTGATTGAACATGGGTCCGATTCTGCTTTGTTTCTTAGCTACAGGGTGTTAAAGTCATATTAATCTATCGATTAATTATAATTTTCCTCCAAGTACTTATAGTGATTCGAATGAAATTTTGAGAGTAAAAATTACTATATGTGCTACATATTTTAATGCTAAAAAAGTGTCGATAAATTTATCAGGGACGTGCATATGGATTATCACTGGAATATCTGCGTGCCAAAAAACGTGTGCGCCTCTGACTTTTTTCTTTTGATATCAAAATTGTGCAAGCCATTTTTTAATGCCAATTAAAAGTTATCTCTTGATATTTTGTTGAATTCGGCCTCCTTGAGGTAAACGCAATTTTATTAACCACAATTAATAAAATTATAATAAAAATAAAATAAATAAATTATATATTTTACCTAATTTATTATTAAATATTATGACTATTAGTTATTATTACTATTAATCCAACCTACAGTAATTTCAAATAGAAAAATAATGGTATTTAAGATCATTACAAAAAAAAATAATTTTAAAAGTTTTAACATCCTGTAACTCTAAAACTATACATTTCCGTACCCATGTTTATAGGAACTTTTTTTCATATATTTTGATGAGGAATTAATGAGTACTTTTTTAAAACTTTCGCAAGTTAATGGGTATTAAAATTTTATAAAGGTTGCTATAAGACTTGGATCAAGGCAAATATATGCGTTTATCTCATCGAGAAAATATGAAGAGATAACTTTTAATCGGCATTAAACTGCTTATACTATTTTGCTAACAAGAAAAAAAAGTCAATGGCGTACATGCTTTTTTTAGAAAAATATTCCAGTGATAACCCATATGCACGTCCCTGGGGAATATGTCGATAACTTTTTAGCTTTAAAATATATCGCATTTATAGTAACTTTTACCCTCAAAATTTTATTCGAAACGCCGAAAGTACTTGGAAAAAAATTATAATAAATCGAAAAAGTATATTAAGACTTTAACACTCTGTAGATACGAAACAAAGCAGAATCGGATCTATGTTGATATGAAAAATAAATCTTATTTTTACGTAAAGAATCTCCCCACGAGAAATGGCACATGTTAGGTATAATTACTATAGAATATTATATCGTGCAATTGCCAAGTCATTATAATAATTATTACTGAAAGAAAGATGACTAATATTGATACTAACAATTTATAACAAAATTGTTGAATAGGTGTTTAAAGAGAGACTAAATAAAATAAACTGACTTGTATTTCCTTGAGATCTCCACAACTTTTATAGCGGAGGAATTGTGTTGTGACTTGGCATTTTTTACATTCTATGTTTTTGGGATTCGCTTTTTGAAGAGACACCAACATTTTTCATATTTTTTACATCAAATGCCTTTGCTTTTGCTAGAGAAAGTCCCAAATACTGAAAAATCTTTAGAAGATGTTTAGATTACATATGAAAAGTATATAAAACAGTGATATATGATATATACTTAATGGGATAATTACCTCAATCTTGTCACAAAGAGCATTTCTATGTTTAATTGCCGCATAAGGGTCATTATTATTGGGACAAGAAAAGTTGGTAAGTATAGTGATGGATTTACTATTAATTTACTAATAAAAATATAGAAATGTATTTAGAAAACATATCAAGTGGTATAATATAATGGATACACATATATATTTACATAAATATACCAGACATGAAGTAGAGGAATGCTATAATGGGACTTAAGTTATTTGATTGTATCAACCATTTATCAAAATTACATAAACATAAAAGTGCAATATTGCACTATTTGTGTTGGGTTGGGTAATATATAATATAACAATGAATCTTGTAAACTGTTTTAAATTTTAAAATAAATGGTTGTGCACTGATAAACCAAACAACATTTATTATCCATAAAATTTAAAACAAACAAAATAATAAACACATATATTCAGGATATTAATTTAAAATGATATTTGTTTTACAGCAATCATAGATAGAAATCACTTTCTAATTTTATGAAAGAGAACTCTTAGATATAGCTCCCATTTCTGTAGCTTAACAAATTACACACAATGATCAGTGTAATTTCAATATCTATAGAATAGTTAGAAATTCATAAAATTTCATAGCAAGTGTCAACTAGGTTTTAATGCAATTTTTATCTATTAAATTGACAAATGACAAAAGTAGGTACTCTTTTCAAAATTCATATCACATTTATATATTTCAAAACATTAACTAATTAGTGTTAATTTACACCTGGGTTTTAAAAGAAGAATTAGTCATAGTGAATGGACAAATAATATTCTGCTGGAATTACCCAATAAAGGTCAAAAAATGTGAAAATTATGAGCAATAACATTATAAATACCTGTTGGTAAATTGATATTTGCTGATGTTGTAGATATTCTGGCATATTTTCCTTAATAACTAGTTCACTTAATTCCAATCCCATATAATTACCAAGGGATGGATATGCATTTCCGACATCCACTGACACAGCTCCTGCATTATAAGTCCCAGGATTGTACGGTGGAGGATTGCTATAGCTGCTAAATGCCTAATTATAAAATACATAATTTTATTAATTATACTTCTTACAATAAACGATCAGTGTGCGTAGAGTGCATTAATTGAATAATTATTGATCAAAACATTATTTGCACTTGAGAAACATATTTAAATTAAAAAGAAAACAATGTATACTTACTTCTGCTTGAGCTCTACCCAACTGATCAACTTTCATATCCTCCAGACTAGGATAGAGAGACATTTTCCTGGATACTTTAATCAACTACTATGGAGGGCTTAAAAAGCTTTTAGCTGCTTTTAGCCTCGGTATCAATTACCTTTTAATCAAACGTTTTATAGTCAACGACAATTAAATTTCTACAGCAATAGACTTGGTCTAAAACTATGCCAATGTCTGATCTCCACATAAAAGAGATCAAATTTTTAATAATATGGTATAATCACGGAATAATTATGATTCACAAAAAGATAAAAAATACTTGGAATCTTGGAATTCGCAACCAACTCCAATTTGTCAGAATGAAAAACAAACACCATAAAAAATAATAGATATAAAGGAAAACACTCGGACCTTAACTTGGACCTTGGACTTCAACAATGTCAATAAGAGTAAGAGACAGTTGCGACAACCCGAGCAGAAAACGCCAAAGGTGTATGAATCGATTGGAATCGATTATAGTTTTTGATTGGTTTTCGACCACAAGGCACAAAATAAAAATAACCTATTCTGTATCTCCCGTTTTATATATGATACTGGTTAGATTTGGGTTAGATTTAGATTTATAAATTTATATTCTGCGGCTACAGCGATAGAAGAGCGATAGCGATCCTCATATCATATATATGTCATTCCCGTCATTCTTAATTTCCCGATCTAACCTAACACCTAACTTAAAACTTTATTATTTAGCTTTTGAATTTTAATAATTTTAAATAAATCTCAGATCTCCAATTCTGTAATTTTAATGTATACTCCATATACTGTATCTTAGTTTATTCTGTATCTCCATATATTATATTAATATAATAAACAAATATGACAATTCCGGCAGAATTCCAAGCTGTTGTTTTAGCAGCTGGAAAAGGTTCACGTATGTTAGAATTTACATCTGGAAAGCCAAAATGTTTACTTCCAATAGGAAGTAAACCACTTATTTGGTATACACTCAGCAAACTTCAAAAATCAGGATTTACTGGTACGTGTATGATTATCTTTTTGTGACTCTTTAAAATCTTATTTTTGTAGAGGTCATTATGATTGTTCTTGAACTCCAGAAAACAGAAATTCAAAGTGCAATCGATATTGAAATAGAAAAAAATACTTTAAACATTAAAATAGATTATGTTTCTGTTTTGGATGATAAAGATGATTTGGGTACAGCAGACAGTTTGAGACTGAAGGAAATACAAGAGAAATTAAAATCTGATGTTTTGATTTTATCTTGTGATCTCATTACAGATGTAGATATATCAGGCGTTTTAAATACATTTAGAAAGTATAATGCTTCTGTTACCACATTATTTTTTCACGAAACGCGAAAACCGTCGAAAATTCGGAAAATCCTTTTTTCCGAGCCTTGAAGATCGAAAAACAGCGCAAAACGTATCTTGGCCAGGTGTAAAAGTAGTGGGGAAGGTAACGTATAAAGTCATAGTCTTGGACAGCTGCTAGCGCGCTGAGCTTTATTATTTACTGGATTAATTTAAGCGTGATGGCTCAGCAAGAACAGTAGTGGCGACTGGGACGCTCGGTAGTAGTTTGTAATTTTTATGTCGACAAATCCGCGCCATTCTTCGTCTTCGAATTCCGCTCGCCGTTATCGGATATTCCGCATCGACGTCTACAGTGGCTGTGATAAATAAGAGATACTGTTCACATAGAAATAAGAAAAGGTGAGTTTTTCTTTGTTTTTTTTTAATTAAAACTGAAAAATTGTCAATAGATATTTTGTTATTATTTCTCATCGTATTAAGAAAATTTAAATGATTTTAAATAAGATTGGAGTATGTATTAAATAAAAATTTTAAAAAAATATACGGGGGTTTCAGGGGTATTTAGTACGATATATACATGCGAGGAAATGTGACTTGAAATGTAGAAATTGTAAAAATAAACAAAAGACGATATCAGAAAGTTAAGAAAAATGTATAACCACTTTTTTTCATATACATTTTCTCTACTTTAAGGTTTTTCGAAAGACTACTGATTTCTTGAGATTTGGAAACATAGACATTTAGATTTTCTACTGTATGTTTCCGACATTATTGACATTTTGAGAAAAATGCTTGATAAAAATTTTGCTTGTTCTAAAATTGTTAATACCCTTGTACTTTTAAATTTTTTTAGCACTTTAAAGAAAATTAAAACAAAAACATGAAATTTTTTTTATACCGTATGATCGAAAAAAAAACGGCGTCAGCGATGGCTATGAAATGAAGATCACTGTCTTTTATATGTAATTTTATATGGGAAATGTCTTCGATCGTCATTTCCCAGTCAACTGGACGCCGCGTTTTCCTTCGATCATACGGTAGATGATTATTATTAATTCTAATTAGTGTTATATTTTTTCCTGTTGTTAAAGTATCCTCGCATTGAACTAAATAAATTTTGTGTTTCTCTAACATTTTAAAACAACAAAAAATATGACTTTAATTAAAATTCTATCAATAATTAACAATCTTCTAAAGAATAAAAACTAATGAAAACGAACTTATATTACCATAGAAACGCGTTTTGATTTTTTAGGAAAAAATTCAACTATATTCTCATGTTTTGTTTTTAAATTTTCTCTAAAACGGTATGGAAATTTGGAAAGGTATAAGCGAGATAAAACATTTTAGAACAAGCAATTTTTTTATGAGGAATGCATTTTTATCAAAATGTCGATAACAAAAAAGTTTTTCCTCTTGTAAAGACAATCCGAAGACGTACTGTTATAACGAATATGTGAATTATTTTGGTTTAATCTGTGTATTTAAAATTTCTTTCAATAAAATTCTATAGACTTTTTTTCTTAGAGTTTCCAGAGATATTTGCATGATAATAACTGCATGGCTACGTATTGGAGGTAGTAAAAAACTTTAAATGTAGCAGTTGCATAATAAAGACGATAAGAAAGTTAAGAAAAAAATATAACTAAAAAAATAGAACACCCTGTATATTTTAAGATTTTTGAAAGGTGTGTTTGTCCAATTTCAAAGATATTAGAGATTAGATTCTAATCTAATCTCTAATATCTTTTTTAAATCTCTAGATTAGATTCTTCGAGGTGGCTTTCGGCCTGATCCACTGCGACCTTCCCAGATCTATTGTGGTGCTCTTCTGATCCTGGGATTACAGTCTCCAGTCCTATCTTTTTCACAAAGTTTAGCAACTTGGAGACTGAACCCTCTATGTAGCTCCCTGGCAATGGCCTATCGTTGCCTATATTACCGAGAACTGCACATTTACCAAGCTGTCACACCGACATAAAATGTGTTCTGTCTTTTCTTCTTCAGATTGGCAGAACCTAATATAGCTTCGTCTGTCAGTTCCATCAGCTTATTTATATGCCTATTTAGCTTACAATGCCCTGTTAGTAGACCTACTACAGCTTTGACTGAGAACTTGGTTTCAAAGATATGGTAATTTTACTATAGGCATTTCTTTAAATCGTTTTAAAATAATTTGGGTTTGATCAGTCTTTGTAAAAGAAATTAAATCTGTATCAAAAAAATCAAGACATTTTTTCAATATATATTACTCATATTACTCATATCTTTGTATCTCTTCTGGTTTACTAGATCAATGTAGTGTGCATTTAGTGTATTCTCATATGGGACATCGTGTATGTAATCATATTAATATACATAACACTGCAAGAAAACTATTTCCAATTTGTATAATCATATTTTTATACACTTTTAAAATACTTTTAACCTACATATTCAAGTACATACATATAACATATTTGTAATAATTTTTTCTACATTTTAATATTTTAATTATTAGAGTTAAAATTGGATTTTTGTTAAACTTTTTGTTCAATAAATAATTCATAATTACTTACGTCCAAAGGTTGACTTTTCAATATAAAACACCTTTTTTGAAAAAAATACTACATATAGTTCATATCAAATAAACTTTTAATCACGTGATTAAGCTTGACCAGCACAGCGTTGCCCATATTACATATTTTCTTTTAATCAACATATTTTAGGAAACAAAAATAAATTAATTTTAAATATATAAAGAGTTATTATTTACATCAAAAACTATTAAAAATCGCAAGCTCTAAGAGTCTTGCAGCTAGGCCAAGACTATGACTACATGTTAACTTGCATTTGCTGATCACTATCAGTCACTTTAAAACAATTTTCTTCAAATGATATGTTATTGACTGAAATTCTCGTAATTCGTTGAAAAGTTGAATTGTCTATATTCTATATGGTTGATATTACTTTAATTAAACTATTAAAAACTATGCTTACCGAATTATAGTTTGAAGGTGTCATAACATAAATATTAATAATGAATAGATATTAATAACGTAATAGTCTGTACTAATAAAACTATGAATAATATTAATAGTTGTGCACTTTGTTTTTGTAAATATTGCTGATGATTAAAACATAAAATTAATGTATAATTATAGAAAACTTGTTTCATTTTAATTTTTGGTACTCTAATAAATAGGTATATGTGATGGCAAATTCGTTTAAAAAAAATTAATTTGTTTCCTCTTTTCATACATTAATAGATGGAAATAATAATATGTAAATAATAAAGAAGAAAAATCATATATAGATGACAGGGGCGGATCCAGGATTCGGTAAGGGGGAGGGGGGGGGCTAGACACAATTAAAACTTTACTCAAAGTGCATACTCCGGAGTCGTTTCTGAAATAAGAAATTAATAATATCGTATTGCATGACTGAAAAAAATCTATTTTATTTAAAATATTGGCAAGTCGTATTTATAAGGTGAAAATGTATTTAAACTATTTTATATCCATAACTATAATTATGTATTATTATTTACTATGACATGGCAGGAACAACAAATAGTATTGATATAGGTTATTATCCTTCTAATATATAATTAATTTATTGAATTAAAATATCTGTATTTTTTAAGAAATTATTTTTTTTTAATTTTTATTTTTTTAATTGCATATTACTAATTTACCTACTAGCACAATAAGTTGAAGTTAACAAAGGAAGAAGGAAGTTTTATACAGTTAAACTCATCGTACACTTGGTATGTATACGTATTTGTTTAACCATTATACAGATTTAGACAAATATGTCAAGTGCCTATTATGTTAATATTACCCAGCTTAATAATAATTGCATTCGGCTTGGGTATGTGAATAATAATTATAGAAATTAGGTTTAATAGGTTTTACATCCTAGTAGGCATATTATTAATACTGACACTCTAAATAGTATATTTTTATTTAAAATTATTTATTTATACCTATATATTTGTGAGAGACTACTTTCATTTTTGGTTTACAATTGCAAATTTATTTTGTTCTTTTTAACATAGGTAGTACTAAATTATTTGATTTTTGTCAAAAGTAGATTTATTAACATATTCCTTAAATAACACAGACATATTTTAAGCTTAATTTGTAATGATCGTGCAATTATATTTTTGTAATTTATAGCAAAATGAGATTATTGAGGTAAATCGTCAATAACCGTTAGGAAACTAGCGGTTTGGTTACTTTTAAACAAATTAATGTTACGTCTTTATTTATTGAAATGATATACATTTTCCTGTTTTTAATTAATTTTGCACTAAACTGTCTACAAAAAGAAACTTAAATGAACTGATGGGAAAACTAATGTGGAGTTAGCAGTGTTTGTGGCAGTGTCATATTGAGTATAACACTTAATAAAAAAGAGCCATAAAATAAATTCTAAATTAGATGAATAGTCTGATTGAACATGCGTCCGATTCTGCTTTGTTTCTTAGCTACAAGGTGTTAAAGTCTTATTAATTTATCGATTAATTATAATTTTCCTCCAAGTACTTTTAGTGATTCGAATGAAATTTTGAGGGTAAAAATTACTATATGTGCTACATATTTTAATGCTAAAAAAGTGTCGATAAATTTATCAGGGACGTGCATAAGGGTTATCACTGGAATATCTGTGTGCCAAAAAACGTGTGCGCCTCTGACTTTTCTTTTGATATCAAAATTGTGCAAGCCATTTTTTAATGCCAATTAAAAGTTATCTCTTGATATTTTGTTGAATTCGGCCTCCTTGAGGTAAACGCAATTTTATTAACAACAATTAATAAAATTATAATAAAAATAAAATAAATAAATTATATATTTTACCTAATTTATTATTAAATATTATGACTATTAGTTATGATTACTATTAATCCAACCTACAGCAATTTCAAATAAAAAAATAATGGTATTTAAGATAATTACAAAAAAAACTAATTTTAACAAGTTTCCTGTAACTCTAAAACTATGCATTCCCGTACCCATGTTTATAGGAACTTTTTTTCATATTTTTTGATGAGGAATTAATGAGTACTTTTTTAAAACTTTCGCAAGTTAATGGGTATTAAAATTTTATAAAGGTTGCTAAATATATATAATACTCATTGGATCAAGGCAAATATATGCGTTTATCTCATCGAGGAGGCCGAAATCGAGAAAATATGAAGAGATAACTTTTAATCGGCATTAAACTGCTTATACTATTTTGCTAACAAGAAAAAAAAGTCAGTGGCGTACATGCTTTTTTTAGAAAAATATTCCAGTGATAACCCATATGCACGTCCCTGGTGAATATGTCGACACTTTTTTAGCTTTAAAATATGTCGCATTTATAGTAACTTTTACCCTCAAAATTTTATTCGAAACGCCGAAAGTACTTGGAAA